TCTGTCCCGTACCCCGAAAGGTTGCAAGTCCGGTCTCCCGTTGGGGGTGTCCATGGGAGGCAACCGATGGCTCTGTCTCTCTCACACTGATGTTCCTCTCTCTCACTCTCTCTCTAAAATCAATAAACATATCCTCAGGTGAGGATTTAACAAAAAGAAATTCTAAATACTAATTTTGTCTAGCAGTCTTTTTCTTTTGCCTTCTTTTTTTTGTGCCTTAATCCTGCTCCTGTCAGAAACATTCTCCATGGTTTCTTCTAATGCTTTTTATAATGTAGGTTTAGGGGTGAAACACTACAGCACGTGAGTCTGCTGCCTGTTTTTATAAAGTTTTATTGGAACCCAGCCATGTCTCTCCATCGGCATCATGGTTGTTTTTGTGCTTCAATGGCACAGCTGAGTAGTTGTGACAGAGATAGTGGCCTGTAACGTCAAAAATATTGACTGGCCATATATTTTAAAAAAGTTTACCAAGTCTTTAAACTTTCACCTACTAAAAAACATTGTGCAAACATTTCAGGTTAAGTTTTAACTTTTTTTTAAGACTTTATTTTCTTTAGAGCAGTTTTATGTTCACAGCAAAATTGAGAGAAAAACAGAGATTTCCTACATACTCCCGCCCCCACCATGTGCACAGCCTCTCTCATTATCAACATCTCCCACCCCCCAGCTGGTAAATCTGTTACCAATGAAGAATCTATATTGACACATCATCGTCAACCGAAGTCCATAGTTCACATCGTGATCCACTTTTGGTGCGGTGCATTTTATGGGTTTTAACAAATATATAATGAAATGTATCCATCATTATAGTTTCACTCATTATAGGGCAGAGTTTTTCCACTGCCCTAAAAATCCTCTGTGCTTCACCTATTTATCCCTTCCACTTCCCTAACCCCTGGCAACCATTGATCTTTTTATTGTCTCCATAGTTTTGGCTTTTCTAGAGTGCCATATAGTTGAAATCATACAGTAGGTAGACTTTTTCAGATGGGCTTCTTTCACTTATTAATAGCATCTAAGTTTCCTCAATGTCTTTTTTGGCTTGACAGCTCATTTCTTCTTAGCAGTGAATAATATTCCATTGTGTAGATGTACTACACTTTATCCATTCATCTATTGAAGGACATCCTGGTTACTCTACATTTTGGTAATTATGAATAAAGTTGCTATAAACATCCATGCACAGGTTTTTGTGTGGACCTAAGTTTTTAACTATTTTGGGTAAATACCAAGGAGTATGATTGCTGGATCATATGATAACAGTATGTTTAATTTTGTAAAATACCACCAGGCTGTCTTCCAAGGTGGCTGTACTGTTTTGCATCCCTACCAGCAATGAATCAAAGTTTCCGTTGCTCTGCATCCTCACCAGCACATGGCATTGTCGGTGTTCTGGATTGTACCCATTGTAATAGATGTGTAGTGGTCAAACTTATTTTTCAACATCTAATTAATTGTTCCAACATGATTTAATAAATAGGCTGCTGATTCGAAATGTCACCTTTTATGGGATATATTTATTTATACATGGATGTGAGAGAGACTTGGGAATAGAAAGAAGGAAAATTGTTATCCTGGAAGGATCTAGAAGATAAGTGGGGCAGAATTTCATCACCAAAGTTCAACTCTGGCAAACTGTTTGTTTTCCAAAGTCCAGTAAGAAGATAAAAACAAAATACCAGCAGATGAAGTTGAGCTTGTTGAAAGGACTACCTCAAAAATAAAAATAGTTTCCTGTAGCAACAATTATATTCAGTGATTTGGGGCTCTCTTCATTATTTTTTCTCTAAGCCCTCTCTTTAAAAATAAACATTATATCCCAGCTTGGCACAAAGGTGGGCATTCATCCTCAGAAGCACCGTAAGACTTTTGTTTTTTCAATATTGATGTTCTCTTCTGCCCCAAATCCTGCTGCTTCCAGCGAATTGACAAAACCTCAAATTCTGGGGTTCTTTTTTTTTCCAGTGCCTTGTCGCTTAATTTTTTAAGAAAGAGTTGAAAACATTTTCCCTTTATTTTTATTGTTGACACTAATACAAATATCCCCATTTCCACTTCTTTGCCTGCCTCCACCCATCCTCCACCTCCACGTCCCTCTGGCCGGCACTGCACTGTTGTTCGTATCTGTGAGTTACGCAGGCATATTCTTTGGCTAATCCCGTCACATCATCTCATCCAGTCCCCCTGCCTCCCACCCTATGACAGCCATCATTCTGTCCCATGTGTCCATGCCTCTGTTTCTATTTAGTCTGTCATTTTATTTTATTCATTAGATTCCACACATAAGTAAGATCATATGGTATTTGTCTTTCTCTGACTGGTTTATTTCACTTAGCACAATAACCTCCAGGTCCATCCATGCTGTCACAAAAGTGAAGTTTTCCTTTTTATGGCCGCGTAGTATTCCATTGTGTAAATGTACCACAGCTTTTTTAGCCAAGATTTGAGAATATTTAAAAATCAGTTTGACAAAAAATTTTGCAATTCTTGTTTGAAAATAAAAGACTGTCAAGGACAGCCAAACATATTTCATTAAAAGTAGATATTTAGTTTCTTGAACTTGTGGTGCCTATCTTTTTAGAGTCACAGAAGTCTGATTTGTCCAGTGTTCCCTATGTTCTGAGTCATTTGATAACTAATTTACATTGTTTTTTACATAATTCTCACACCTCCACCCAGGGAGATTGGGACCATTACTAACTCCATTTAGTAACTGAGAAAACAGCATCACTGAGATATGAAGTTAACTGATGAAACAACAGTGGGGAAGAAAAGGTTAAATAGCCCCTACTTTGTGTGAATTCCCACTCAAAGAGAAAGTGAGGATAAGAGGCAGCCTATTCACAGGCAAAAGGAGAATTTGTACCCAAGTCTGTCCGAAATAAAAGCCAGTGCCCCAAACCATCCTGAAAGTTCAGTCCTTTTGCTCTTGACTCAGGGTGGACAATCTCCCTGATCCAGCAGCCCCATTCCACAGGCTGCATCGGAGCCCCGCAGTGCCGCCATTTACTCAGCAACATTCTTTCAACAGAATGTCTTTAAACCTGTGAAGTTTTTCATTAGAAATGAAGAGATCACTGATGTATGTAGAAAACAAACACCACTTGATAAGTGTGCCAGTCAGAGCATGTTTTCCATTTTCTCACCAGAATCCCAACTGTTGCAGAAGAGTAAAAAGAGAACAGCAAGAAAACGAGAGAAAGTTGTTTAAATTCTCACCTGCTGAAACCTCTGAGCCCCAGACCCTCCTCATTTTCTAAAGGGGGGCCACGCAACAAGTGTTGAAGTAATAGTAGCACTGAACCAAAATGTTCTCAGGGTGTAATCAGAAGGACAGAAGGAACTGAAAAGGGAATACCTTTTGTAAATTATTTAATGTGTCCATGGGCCAAGCAAAACCACACTGAAAAGCTTTAAGTGTCAACTAATATTCAACAAGGGATCCAAAAACACCCAAGGGGAAAAGACAGTCTCTTCAACAAATGGTTTTGGGAACGCTGAATAAATACATGCAGAACAGCGAGACGGGACCCCTTTCTCACACCACTCACCAACATTAACTCAAAGTGGATCAAAGACTTCCAATATAAAACCAGGTACCATAAACCTTCTAGAAGAAAACACAGGGAAGAAGCTTCTTGATATTGGTCTGGACAATAATTTTTTGGACATGACACCAAAGCCACAAACAACAAAAACAAAAATCAACAAATGGAACCACATCAAATTCAAAAGCTTCTGCACAGCAAAAGAAATAATAAAATGAAAAGACAACCTACAGAATGTGAGAAAAATTTTGCAAGCCATACATTGGGTAAGGGGTTAGTACCCAAAATATATAAAGAACTTACACAACTTAATAACAAAAAACCTAAGGAATTTAATTAAAAATCAGCAAAACTAGATAGAAAATTTTCCAAAGAGGACACCAAAATGGGCTACAGGCACATGAAATGGTGGTCGACATCCCTAATCATCAGAGAAATGCAGATCAAAACCACGGTGAGATATCACCTCACACCTTTAGAATTACTATCATCAAGAAGATAAAAGAAAACAGGTGTTTCCAAGGATATGGTAAAAAGAGAATCCTTATATATTGTTGATGGAAATGTAAATCGGTGTAACCGCTATGGGAAACAATATGGAATTTCCTCAGAAAAAATAAAAATAGATCTACCATATAATCCAGCAATTCCATTTCTGAATATATACCCAAAGGAAATGAAAACAGGATTTTGAAGAGATATATACACTCCTATGTTTATTGTAACATTATTCACAATAGCCAAGATGTGGAAACAACTTAAATGTCCATCAATGAACGAATGGATAAAAAAAGAAGTGGTATATACTTGTATATTTAAATGGAATATTATTTGGCCATGAGAAAGGAGGATATCCTGCCATTTGCAATAACATGGATGGACCTTGAGCACGTTGAGCACATTATGCTAAGTGAGATAAGTCAGAGAAAGACAAGTAGTGTGTGATATCACTCACATGTGTAATCTAAAAAAATAAAACTCATGGAAAAACAGAGAATGGTGGTTGCCAGGAGATGGGGGTTGGGAGGACAAGGTTGACGTTTAGGGACACAAACTTTCAATGAGTAGGAAATAAGCCATAGAAATCTAATGCACAGTATAATGAATATAGACAACAATATGGCTCTACAGTCATCAGACTTGCTAAGAGGATAGAACTTCACTATTTCAACCACAAAAAGAAAAGACAATTATGTGATGCGACAAGTACTAAATATCACAACAGCAGTCATACTACAATATCTCAGTGTATCAAAATAACATGTTATATACCTTAAATTTACACCATGTTATGTCAAATATTCAAAATATATTAAAAATAAGGTACTTACATGAATAATAATTTTGTTTCCACCTTTAAAAAAGAAAAATAAGAAAGAAAAGTGACTGTGAGCTCTAACATTGGGAAGCATTAGTTTATTTGAAAGGCAATTGGGTTAAGAAAAGTCTTCAAAGAGGCTTAGCAAAGTGATTCTTGCTGAGAAGTTTCCCGAGGGCCCTCTTCAGATCTCGGTTCCGCAGGCTATAGATGAAGGGGTTCAGCATGGGGGTCACCATGGTGTATATTATGGTGGCTGCCATGTCCCTCTGTGTGGTGTGTGTGGATGTGGGATTGAAGTAGACCCCAATGATAGTCCCGTAGAAGAGACAGACGACACAAAGGTGAGACCCACAGGTGGAGAACGCTTTCCACTTCCCCCAGGCAGAGGGCACCTTCCACACGGCCACAGCGATGGGTGTGTAAGAGGCCATGATGCACACAAAAGGGACTAGAATGACCAAGCTCCCAAGCACCAACACCAGCATCTCGTTGACTTGTGTGTCTGAGCAGGAGAGCTTGATTAAGGTGTTCAGGTCACAGAAGAAGTGTGGGATCCTATTAGTACAAAAGGACAATCGGGTCATCAGAATAGTGTGAACCATGGAAATGAGGTTGGCCAAGACCCAGGGTACCGCCACAAGCAAGGCACACCGAAGGACGCTCATGATTGTCATGTAGTGCAGCGGGTAGCAGACGGCCAGGTAGCGGTCATAAGCCATGGCCGAGAGAAGGATGCTGTCGGCGCCCCCAAAGGCAATGAAGAAATACATCTGGACCAGGCAAGCAACGGAGGAGATGGTGGTGTTCCCACAAAGGTGGTTCAGCAGCATCTTAGGAACGGTCGTGGAGGTAAAGCAAATGTCAAGAAGAGACAAGTTGCTGAGGAAGAAGTACATGGGGCTGTGGAGGCAAGGGTCCGAGAGGATGGCCAGGATGGTGAGCAGGTTCCCCAGGCACCCAACCAGATACAGGCTGCAGGACAGCCCGAAGAGCGCCTGCTGCTGGAGGGGCTGCTCAGAAAGGCCGAGGAGGATGAACGCAGAGACTTGGGTCTGGTTGTCCATGTCCAGGCCGCTCTAAAGCCAGAAGCAAGGCATCAACCGTGGGTGGACTCCTGGGGAGGAAACGAGTCACCTCATTGTTGTCCTTCCCATTACTCTTTCCAGATGCATCTCGACTCCTCTGAGCCTCAGTTTCCTCATTTGTTACATGGGATTAATAATCTTTCCTGTTAGGATTGTTATAAAGATTAAGTAAGAATAACATGTCTAAGAGGCTTATATTCCCACCTGACATATTACACGGACAATTGTTTTTATTAGCGGGAGCTCTCAGTGATGCTATCAAAATAGTGACGTCAATTAGCTTGACTGTGGCAGTGATTTTACAGTGTATCAACACATCAAGGTTTGTACCTAATCGTATATAATTATTTATTTATTTGTTTTTAGAGAGAGGGAAAGGGTGGGAGAAAGAGAAGGGGAGAAAGAGAGGGAGAGGAACATCGATGTGGAGAAACATTGATCAGTTCTCGCTCCTACACACCCTGACCTGGGACCCAACTCACAATCCAAGAATTGGACTGGCAACGTTGCAGTATGACAATCAACTGAGCTACACTGGTAAGGGCTAATCATATAGAATATTAATCAGTCGATTATACCTCAATAAAGATGGGAAAAAAGAAGTAAAAATATAATGAACAACATAAATGTTTCCGGGATTTAAAAAAATAAAAATAGAGTTATAATGGTATCAACTACACAGCCAAACAGCCTGAGTTCAAATCCCAGCTCTGCAACTTACTAGCTGTGTGATATTAGACAAGTTACTTAACCTCTCTGTGCCTTAGTTTTCCCATTTGTAAAATGAGAATAATAACAGTATCTCCCCATAGAGTTCTTGTGAAGATGTGATGGGTTAATATGTAAAATGTTGAGCCTTATGTGTTTTTCTGAGCATTAAGATCTCTTAGAACAGACTGGTGATTACCAGAGGCAGGTGTGTGTGTGGCGGGGGTGGGGGTGGGGGAGGGGGTTGAGTGAAACGGATAAAAAGAGTCAAAAAGTACAGATTTCCATTTTAAAGTAAATAAGTCCTGGGGACGTGTTGTATGTCATGACAACCATAGTTAACAATATTGTATCATATATTTGAAAGTTGTTAAGAGAGTACATCTTAAAAATATCTGTAACTGTGTGGTGATGGATATTAATAAAATTTGCTGTGGGGACCATTTTTGCGATGTATGCAAATACGTTGTACACCCGAAACTAATACAATGTTGTATATCATTACACCTCAATTTTTTAAATCTCTTAGTGTTTGAGAGCAAGGGCTCTGGGTCCAGGTGCACCCTGTTTGAATGCCATTCCTGACACTTACTAGCTCTATGAGCCAGTGACAGACAAGCCCAAAGCCTCAGTTTCCTGAGAGAATTAAGTGAAACAATGAGTGTGGAGCTCTGTAACATGCTGTTTTGAAAAGGCGCCGCTCCGAAATGCCCCAGTGACGCATCTGTCACACCACTGACGTCTCTCTCCTCCTTGCGCTGTGAGAGCATGTACAGATTCATTGTGTCCCGGGGCAGGTTTTTCCAAAGGGAGCCAATTTTGCTCATTATGTGTTTCTTAACACCAATCTTAGAGACAGAGGATCTTAATTTGCCCACAAATTCTGGCCCCTTGTACCAGGTAAGACTTGCCTAACCCTGCGCCTGGCCTCCCCTGGACAGCCCATTGGCTCTGTATCAGTCAGTTTAGGCTAAATTATGCTGCAGTAACATACATGCCCCGGTCTCAGTGGCTGACAGCAGTGAAGGCTTCTTACTCAGGCTACATGTGCATCACAGGGGGCTATGGCCGTGCTCCTCTGTGATGAATTCCCTCCAGGGCTCAGGCAGGTGGACAAACCTTTATCTGCCGGTTGTGGCAGCAGAGGGAAAGTGAGTTGAATGCCGGCTCCTACGTGCTTCTGCCAGGAAACACCCTGCTCTCACCTTCACTCGCATGTCTATGGCCAAGCCTGGTGTCAGGGGTGGAGAAATTTCTCCTAGGAAACAGCAGCAAGTATATGTGAAAAATAATAGACTCTCCAAAGCTTTGCAGTGACCGTCCTACTCTACTGCAGGCAGAGGAGAGAAGGGCATGCATTTCCCTGTGAGACAACATGTCCGGCCTTCGAATCTCTGGAGTGCTATGCCCAGAATCCAGCAGTGCTGTTTACCCTTCAGCCCACACACGGGAAGCCGCGTTGGGCTCAAGGCTCACCTGAGGCATGAAAATATTTATAATACAGGCGGCAGATGTCTTGACACAGAGGACTCTGTCATCTTCCACACTCCCTTACACGTTTCATTCAGTGACTGAATTGCCAGCTACTGATTATCCTGTTGTTTCCCGAACATCACTCCCAGACACCTCCTTGCCCAGGCACTCCAGTCTCGTGAGGCCCAAAGCGGGAGCTCCCCTGCCGGAGCCGCTGAGGCCGGCCCTGGGGGGCGTGCGCTGCACAGTTCCTCAGGGCGCGCCTGCGGCACCGCCCTGGCCAGCGCAACCAGCTCCTCCCTCGCCGCTCACACCCTGTCGATTCCCAATTTGCAGACTTAAAGCATCATCTTCATCTCTCGCACAGAAGTAGAAAACTTATTCCCAGAGTGAGCACCCAGGGTGAGCACCCCGGTCCAGGCCACCATCCTCTCCCACCTGGGGGACCCTTCATGGAGTGGCTCTCCATGGCGACTCTCGCCCCCCTCGGTCCTTTTCCTTACTGCAGCCAACGTGACAGTGAAAGGTAGATGGCGGCCTTACCCCGCATCGCCCTGCTGTGGCTCACCACGGCTCCTCTCACTCCGACATCTTCAGTTTCCAACTTCCTGGCTTTGTCTCCTGCCTTAGAGCCTTTGCACCTGCTGCTTCACCTCCCCTGCGCTGTCTTCACTTCTGCTCGCCTGATCCCCCTCCTTTGAGTGGAGCCCAGGGGTTCTCAGCCCGGACACTACTGACATTTGGCGTCGGATCCTTTGTTTGTAGTGGGGACTGCCCCGTATATTATTGTAGGACGTTGATCTCTGGTCTCAACCCACTGGGTGCCAGGAGCACCCCTTCTCATTCTACTTGCAACAAGCAAAAATGCCTTGAGGTCGCTTTGGGAGGGCTCAAAATCCCCACCCCCACCTGGAGGATCATTGATCTAGATTAAAGTCCCATGAACGCTCTCCCCCTGCAGCGCCTGCACAGGCTTTGAGCAGGACAGTGGCATTTATTGGATGTGGTCCACCTTTGAGCTAATAACCACTTGGCACATATCATTCCACTGAGCTCTCCACCGCCCCACGAGGCAGCCACACTTAACTCCTGCTTGGAACTAGGATCCCGTCCAGGCTCCGGTTCTGGCGTCTGCCCTCTTGACCAGCTCCCAGTAATGCTGCCCGCACACAAGGCTCTGTGCGGAGCACCTGGGGTCCTGGTGGGTGAAACTGAGCAGAGAGCACCTCAGTCTCTGAGGGGAAGTTCCACGGCAAGTAAGACCACTTCCCTGCTACTCGTTTATCTCACAGACTTACTTGACCAACGGCTGTGTGCCTCTATCAGATGCTGGGGCTTCTTAGCCCTCAGGTGTTGTGATTCCAGGGCGGTGGGACTGCTGCTGCCTCCAATTTGTCTTGTGGCTCTGGAGGAGGAACCTGCTTTCTCTGGGAGCACACAGAAGAACCACTGCATCAGGTTTATACCAGAGTCTCTAGCCCCCGGGGCACAAGGCCCAGAGAACCTTGTTAGAATGAATACAATGAACTCATCGTCCCTTCAGGGGCCTTTGGGCCTAGCACCCTGGTGGGAAAGAATTTTGTCTCAAGAGCATCCTCTTTCTTCAGACCTGTCTGTCCTGGTTGACAGAGAATAGGATGCACCCAATTTTTCCTAGGAAGAGGTTTTAAAATATATTAGGACTAATAATGGTTACAGTATGTTAAGTATTTGTTATGTGGTTGGAGCTGTGGTAAGCCTACAATGCCCCATAACTCTCACAAAAGCCCAATGAGGAAAGGAATGAGAATCTCACTTGCTCATCATCACACAGCTTGACGTGGCAGATCTGGGGTTTGATTTAGGCAGTCCGGCTCCAGGACTAATGAACTAATGAACATAAGTGGCCCTGAGCACACACATAAAAAGATTTCGATTCCTTTGTATGGCTGAGTAATATTGCATCGCATGTATGTAATCCAAAGGTTTCTAGTGCAACTACCACTATAATCAATTTTAGGATATTTTCACCAAAAAGCAGCTCTGTACTTTTAGCGCTCACCCCCATTTTCCACTTCTCCTCCAGGTCCAGGTGATCGCTGATCTTCCTTCTGTCTCCATAGATTTGTCTATTATGGGAAGTTCAGATACATGGAATTATACAGACTTTTGGTCTGGTTTCTTTCATTCATTATAATGTTTTCAGATGTATCCATGTTGTAGCATCTATCAATAATTCAATTTTTAAATTGTTGAATAATATTCCATTACCACATAATATCACAGTTTGTTTATCCTGTCGCTTGTTAATGGACATTTGGGTTGTTTTTGCCTTTTGGCTGTTATAAATAGTGCCTCTGTAAACATTTGCATACAGGGTTTGTTTGAGGGTGTGTTTTCAACTCTTTTGGGTATATATCCAGGAGTAGAATTGCTGGGTCATATAGTAAATCTATATTTTACTTTTGAGGAAATGCCTAACTGTTTTTCATAATGGCTGCGCCATTTTACATTCTTACCAGCAGGAGATAATGGTTATGATTTCTTCACATACCTGTGAACACTTACTGTTTTCTGGTTTTGTTTGTTTGTTTGTTTTTAATGTAATATGTGATTGAATTGATATTTCAAATCAATGGGGAAAATAAGGCTTATTCAACAAATAAGGTGCATGGACCTCTATTACTTGAAATAAAACAAATATAGAGCCCTATTTCACACATTATACAAAAAATATTCAGGTGAGTTAAAAACCAATATGTAAAATCTAAGGAGTTTTAGGAGAAAATACAAAATAATATTTTTCTTACCCTGAAGTA